TGCTACTGCTACTGCTACTGCTAGGAGGACGATGAGGACCGCCACCATTACCACTACCATCTTTGTGCTACGAGTAGCAACCGGTCCTCATCGTGCCCACCACAATGACGCTCACGGCAGAGTCACGAATGCCTTCCAGGCGCTGGAACTCCTTTGGTACTCGGAAAGCTCGTGGCCTCCAGTGTCTTTCTTATGGTGCCTGGCGACAGTTGGCGTCTCCGACGCCGAGGCTCCGAGTTCTCCTCTAGACCAGTCTGGTTGCTTGCGACAGGAAGCTCGAAGTTGAAACTGGTTGCCCACCATACATATGTGTAGACATATAATATATATATACATACATACACATACGCATACGCATTCGCACACACATATACATATACATATACATATACATATACATATACATATACATATACCTACATACACACACGCATGCATGCATGCATGCATGCATGCATGCATACATACATACATGCATGCATATACATTTATATATATATACACACATGTATGTATGTATACTTTCTCTCCCTCTACATGTTTACATGGTTACCTCACCGTATAGTACATGTGTATACACACATATACCATGGTCTGCAAACATGCACTGTCGCGCGAGTCTTTTTGTGTGTGAGCGCTGTTGGTACGTGGTGCAGAGCATGTGCAATAGGGAGACATGTTCTGTTTCGCGGGAGAGTATGCGCCCAAACCCTGCTCCAATCGTGTAGACCCCTTTAACATGGCTGGAGGGGATAGGGAGAAGGGCTTTGCATCCAGTTCCCTTGTGACATGCATTGCATACATGTTGGAAGTCTCTTGGGCCGAATCCAGGTCATTCACGAAGCTTGCGTGGAGGTGGCTTTAGGCCAATGCCACGGGGAGGACCGAAAGCCAAGTCCCGTTGCAACATGTTCCCGTACATGGCCCAGCATGACTCATGCTAGGAGCAATGCCTATTCGCTGCTTTAGGCTTCGATGATCCCGGCCCCAGCATCTGCTGGAAGCAGGAGTTGTCCAGGGTGTTGTGGTCGCTGGATATCCTGGGCGTGGAGAACATCCAATTCTGCAGGTCGGCATCCCTAAAGGAGTCCGTAAGGGAAATTTTCAGGAGGTTTGCTTAGCTTCAGTCGCCACGGCACGCTTTGGCCATTAATCTGTGTGTGATGCACTCGGAAACGTGGCACGGGCAGCGAAACAGTTTGCGATGTTGAGTACCCTGCCCTACCTCCACGATCCTCCATGCGTCCTTTTACTCCTTTTGGGCCCTCTGGCACAGGTCGACCATTCGGAGGTTTTTGAAACAACTCCCCAACGTTGGCCTCGACGAGCTTGCAATGGCGGTGCCTCGAGAGAAGTTTGGTTTGGTTTCAAGATCCAAGATGCCCGAAAGTCTAGGATGAAGGCCCCTGATCCCGAATCGTGCCGTGCAGGCGACTGATTCCTCCGAGTGATGACTTGTGAGCGTCCAAGCCCAAAGTCTCGAGGTGTCGGGCCTCATCTCCCTGAGCTCGGAGCCTTTTGCTGCTGACCTGATCCAGCGACACGTGGCAGGCGAACTCAGGAGGCTGAGGCTCCGATGGTGAAAAAGAGAGGCTGCCCTTTGAATTCCGTGGGAGTTAATGATTAAGAAAGATGCCACAAGTTGGGATCAGCGGGGTTCTTTGGGGAAGAATGTCCAGGGACATGGCAGAGGAAGGTTCAGGGATTCCCCTGGTAAGCACAAACGCAGCCCCTTCTCGCCACTGCTTTGGCAATTGGCTTCACGGGGAGAGTTACACAGCTCGTAGGGTATGGAAAGCCATGATCGCCTCGTCAATCGCGAACATCCGAAACTCCTGCGCAGGCAGATCGCACCGAGTCGACTGGCTTTCAATCGCTTGGGCATCTCAGCTATGGGCATCTTGGCTGCACTCACTGCATGGACCTTCAAAACAAGTCGCGTCGCCTGACGTACTCGATTGAGGCATACTGGGATCCTTGGCGACGGCAGGGCGTTTGCCACAGAGCTTGCAAACTGCCGTGCACGATGCGCTGCTGGAAGTCGGCCGCGGCTTAGACCGAAGCACCCGGGAGACCTACACATTGCCGAGTCCACCTTTGCCGCAGGCCATTCTCAGTTTTGAGAGTGTCCCCTCGCTCTTTGCTTTCGCCTCAGGAGCATCTTCCTGCCTCGGTGGTGTGGAACCAGGCTGACCGCGCTGTTCTCTTCAAGCCACCCGGGTGGGAAGTCTATGGTGCCCACACAGCCCTGCAGCTGTCATCCTTCGCAGCGCTCCGCTTTGGCAACTCGGTTGGCAGACTGCACCACCTGGAAGATCACACAACGGCTTTCGCGTTTGGAAGCCAAACTATCCAGTCCAGTGAAAACGAGCCGGCAGCAGCCAGGGATAGCAAAGCCTTGGGGAAGGGCGTGCTTCTTTTGAACGCTAGGGATGCAGTGCATTACTCCAAACCACATGTGGCACGTATATGGTACCTGGCTTTGAAGTGGCCATGAGGCAAGCAGGGTTATGTTTTTAGGCGCTAGCTCAAACGAATTTGGATGCTCATGCTGTTTGAAGTGCCCGTTTTCCTGATTGCTCCATGGTCTAGGATGTCCCTCAAATTCCAATTCAAAGCCTTGTTGCACAAGGCCGCCTCCGAATCCTGGATGATGACAGCCGCTGGACAGATTTACCTTGGTGCCTGCTTCACGAACTGGGGGGCCCTGCACACGGTCCCACAGTGTTGGAAGTTTCAGGGCCCTTTGCCCTGACCCGGTCACAGTTCCCTACATTCTACCTGCATTCTACATGTTATCCCTGCCCTGCAGTATTGAAGCCCGGTCATTGTTCAATTTAGGTCATAATTCTGGCTTCCTCCATCGCCTGGATGTGCCGAGCTCAGGCCGGTGAGTCCAGCAGCAACAGCAGTGTTAATGACATCTCTAGAAGTATTTAGAAGTGAATTCCAAATCCCCAAAAAATCATCGTTCTGAATTTCTCAATATGTTCATGACAGCGATCAGCAGTCGCGACACCCTTGTCACTGGCCGTCTTTCACTATGATAGCCTCATACGGCGAGTCTCAGTCCGAACATTGTTAGCTCAACAGTCATGACCGCCTTGATCGTCGCGACAACGATTATCGTCGTCGTCGTCAACATGGCATCGGATGTGGTTGTTAAATCAGGTCCTACTATGTTGTACTTGTACTGCACAGTGGTAACTGCACGTTTAATATAGCAACGAGCCTTGCAGCACTGCATCTTCTGGTTGCGCTTGCCAGCCTGATTGTTTATGTAAGTATTTTGTTTCTGCGGTTTCTCAAAAAAAGACTTAATACCCGCAAGAGTGTACACGTGAATGTGCATGTTTGTGTTCACATATATATATATACATGTATATATATATATGCAATAGCTGTATGTGTACACAGATACATATTAACATATCCGTATGCTACATATAAATAAAACACGACGGCGACGGCGACGACTGCTACTACTGCTTCTGCTACTGCTACTGCTACTGCTACTGCTACTGCTGCTGCTACTGCTGCTACTGCTGCTGTTGCTACTACTACTACGACGACGACTGCTACTACATACTACTGCCTCGTAAATTCACCTGCCCTTTTGGCATGGCATGCTGCGCGTATAGAGTTGTTTGTCGTGTGGCTCGTGTTCTATTTCGGCGCAGGATTCCTTCTGCTCTCAGCTCTGGTGCCGACAGCAGAATGTAGACACCGATTACATGACTTGCTTCCATTGCACATCGCAGGCTTGATCATGATGGCAAAGTCCTATGCTGCCTTCTATGACTTGCAGCTTCAGCTCCATCTTGGGACATTTGGCCGCGAGTACACCTCCCTCGTGCACGGCTGGTTAGCAAAATCGCTCAGCACCGTGACGGCAAAGGCCAGGTCTTGCGAGTCTTGCGAACTTCACCACTGGCATCGCAGGAGGACCAGTTTTAGGTCAGTTCCTATGGCTGGCAGTCTACCGGTGCGTTAGCTACCACGGGCAGAAGTAAAGAGTGCAGTACATACCGTACTCCGTCAGCATGAACAGTGCCGGAAGCACGGTGGCTGGGGCAGGGACAGAACCGTGACATCGACTATTACAGAGTTGGTCGTCTCTATCTTTCTCCCTCCTGTAGCCAAGCTTCAAAGGCATCGTGAGGCCAACATTATACCAGTTGGAATGATAGGTTCGATCACATCCGTGGTTGTAGATAGTAGATACTTCTTACCGTTACTCATAGTTCTTCCGGCTAGTAGAAGCAAGCACTTGAAAACAACATGCAGTTTCTTCGTTTTCGTCGCGCACGAGCCCACACAGGTGCAATCCGGCACAAAAGGTCCGACAACTTCGGGCGGTCGCGGAAAGTGGAGCCAAACTCGGCTTCGGCGCATGGGCCACATGGCAGGCATGAGGTCAGAATGCGAATTCAATGTTTGAATCCCTGACAGCTCGTACATGAAATACCGTAAGTCATAAGGGCCGCAGCGACATCATGTGGTGGCGATCGTCTCCTAGTTGCCCAGGCTACTTGTGGCATCCTGTTGGCACACTAACTCGCCTTCTTCTGCAGATTGCTGCTCAGCCACAACAGAGACGCCGTTGCTGTAGTAATCATTTCATTGTCGTTTCGGTTGTCATCTTGAATTGCTGTTTATTCTTCGGGCACTCTTAGGGCACTTGCCGTTCTTGGCTGTAACTGTGGATATGACGGATATGAGCCGCGACCGACAGCGTGCTACTCCATTTGCCTGTGATGCCCTGGAGCAAGAGATACTGCCTCCTAGCTGTTTCCGTGCTTAGAACAATCCTCGTTCAAGTATGTTTCAGGAAGAGGCACGATGGCTTCATGTGAGCAGTTCGCATGGTCGAGAGCCGAGGTCACGGGGCGAAAGCACCAAATTCGGAGTCACATGTCCTACATTGGGCACCCTACCGTCCGAGATGGTCTTTACACTAGCAATGTGACTTTCCAAGAGGATGCAGCACTCTGCGACCGAAACTGGCTGCATAGACATTTGCTTTCATTTCGAGACCGAGCAGGCAAGTTCCACGAGATTCACTCTCCATTGCCTCAAGACCTTCAAAATTCGTTCATCACGGCATGTAAAATGTGCGATGCTTCATGCTTTTGCTTGCCGTCACCCTCCCCCTTGGCATCGGAGGGCTCTAGGAGGGATGTTCCATGTGCCATGAAGACCGCCTCTCAGTCGCTGCGTGTGCGGCCCAAGCCGAAGCCTACTCCAGGTTGACACACGCCACACAGAAGCCCAGATGACGCCTGTGTTTGTGCACCCCAGGACTTCTCCTGACAACTGGAAGGAGGTTCGGATGAGGCCAGATGGCAAGCAACGTCTGCTCCCCGGAGCACTGGAAGAGCCCTGCATCCCCGAGTGCGGATCCTTGTGGCAGCCTGCTGGAGTACAACAAAGCCATCAACGCTTGCGTGAAGCAGTCGCAGTGGCAACGAGCATTGGCGTTGCTGCCCGAGCTGGAAGAGTACGAATTTCAAGCTTCGCTAGTGACCTACAACACAGCAGCCAGTGCTTGTGTCCGTGGAGCACAGTGGGAATTGGCATTGTCGTTCCTGCATCAACTACAGCATGACCGTCTTGCGGATGTGATCACCTTCTCAACGACGCTGAGCTCTTTGGAGGTTGCTAGCCTGTGGGCCGAGGCTATAACCCTTTTGCTGTCGATGGCCGATGTGGAAGTTGTCCGGAACTCCATCACCTACAATGCGGCCATCAGTGCCTGTGCCAAAGGCTACTCGAACGAATGGTCGACCTGTCGCAGTTGGGTCCACCAGCACTTGCCAAAGTGCAGTTTGAGCTAGGATCCGATTCTGTCGAGAGAGAGAGAGAGAGAGAGAGAGAGAGAGGGTGCCTCATACCCGTAGCAAAGCAAGAGCCTCTGAGGTGAGGCATGGGAAGTAGCGCTCTCGCTGCTGCACGAGCTAGAGATGGAGAGATTGGAGGCCTCCATCATCCCTTACAATGCAGCCACCAGCGCCCAGGCGAATTCGGTGAGAAAGCCCATGACAGCCCCCTCTAACCATTCAAGCTGCTTTTAAGGTGCCTGTGCCAAAGGAGGCTGCTGGGAGCTTGCGGTAGCCCTGGCTGCCAGCCTCAACCCGAGAAGCCTCGAGCCGGACATCGTCACGCAGAACTCCCTCATCTCGGCGCTTGAGTTCGGCTTCTGGACCGAGGCTGTGCTTCTGTTCAGTGAATTGGCGGAACTTTCTTTGCAACCTACCATCGTGACCTTCAACTCGCTTTTGAAAACCTGCGCGAGACCTGCATGGAATGGTTTCGTATCCTTACATGTCTTTCGTATGCTGGTGATCGTCAAGCTGCATGAGTTAACATGTGACACAATCTCGGCTACAAGGACTGGAGAAGAGTGGCAACAAGCACTTAGCTTGCTGTCGGAAATGAAGAATCGAAAGCTCCTGCCAAACATGATCACCTTGACAACGGCCATCAGTGGCAGCCACTTGCCAAGATTGACGGCCGCTTCAGGAGGACCCCAGCCCCATCAGGGCACCCGAGTTCGTCCCATCGCGGCATGCCCCAGTTTTGTGCCTTTTCCAAAGCAGGGCATCGCTGGCACATAGATCCGCCAAATTGGTGCACTCACATCAGAGGCAGTGAGGTTTGGAGAGGGCCTTCAGAAGGGCCCCAGAGGGCAGAGAGGCGTTACGGGATGTGGTAAATTCAGTGGCCACTCAGGCTGAACCACTTTGAACCAGCATGGCACATGATGGCACTGTAGAAATGAAGACAGTCGCCGTTTGTAGACAGATGAGCCGTCCAGCAGTTTTGTCGCCTTTCTTCCGCCTGCCCCAGGCACCCGCAGCTCTCAATGGGAAAGCTCGCTGATTCTTTTCCGCGACATGAGACAAAGCGCGGTCCCTTGCAGCGTGGCTCGGAGGCAAATTCGGGTTTGAAAGGCGAACAAGCAAAGGGGCCATAGGGAGTCTCGATGACAGCGAGCAGCCGAGGTTCTCGCATACAATGCAGCAATCAGTGCATGCGAAAGTCAGGGGTTGTGGGAGTACGCTCTCCAATATATGGCCACCTGGTTGCCAAAGGGCAGTGTGCTGCATAACACGGGAGCTTGAACTTCGCAAGTCAGGCTGAACTGTCGTCAGAGGGCTTCCAAGCTGACATCGTCACTTACAGCACAGCGACTCTGAGGCTGCAAGCTTGGCCGCTTCGTGTCCAGGTGCCCACGTTGCCTGTTGTGTTTGTTTTGTGCATGCAATTTGAGGATTGGGGCCTGTGCCAAAGCCGGGAATTGGCAGTGGGCGTTGCAGCTGTTTGCGATGCTGAAACGCGACGGCTTGCGGTGGAATGTCGTCACCTGCAACTCATTGATCAGTGCGTGTGAGAAGGGCGGCGAGTGGAGCCGCGCACTCGCGCTGTTGTCTGGAATTCACGCTGAAGATCTCCAGGCGCAAGCTGCCTAAAGAGCTCCATCAGCACCACAGTTTGAGCAAGACTCGCACACTTCAAGGTGGATGCGATCGCCTACAATGCCTCTATCAGCTCCTGTGAGAAGGCAGCGAAGTGGGAGGAAGCTTTGGTCCTCCTCAGACAGTTGGAGGCCTCTCCCGGGCTCCAGGCTGATGTGTCCCTTGCCCCAAAGATGCGACTCATGCTCGTGCGGGTCAGGATTGTTTAGGGTCTTTAGGTCTTAGGGTTGATATCTGAGGATTTCCTTCAATGCTGCTATCAGTGCTTGCGAAAAGTGCGAGCGTTGGGAAGAGGTCCTGATGCTCGGGGGACACCTTGCAAATACGTCCTGAGCAAGACCGGATGTCAGGTGTCAGAACACTGCCCGACACTGCATTTGATGGATGTGCGAGGCCATGCTGCTGTTGAGGGAGCTGCGATTCAAGGCGATTGAGCCCAGCGAAGCTTGGCGAGAGATGTGAGAGCTGGTTCTGAGGAGCATGTCGTTTCATTCACCTCCTCAGCAGATTTTGTGCTGCGAACGATATGCAAGAAGGCGATCACGTACAATGCCGCTGTCAACGCTTGCAAGGGTAAAGGCACCAGTCTTTCTGCAATGGTAACTGTCCTTGTCCATGAACTCGAGCAGAACCCTGGCAACCAAGCTCTGGCAGGCCACTGGCGAGTTGCTGTCTCGCTCCTTGACGAGGGCAGAAGCTTGCAGCTAGCAGCCACGACGGTGGCATGCAACGGGATTCTGAGTGCATCAGAGAGAGGCCGGCTATAATACCTGGAATGGTGTTCATGACAGCTCATTCTGTCTGTAGCCCTTAAGAACAAGCTTCTACTAATATCAGGACCGTGAATGACACGGGAAGACCATCATCAGTTTTGAATCTGTCAGAAAGCATCTACAAGTCAAGTCATGATCGACGTTGTCTTACAGGCCAGTGGCGAATAACCTCATCGCTCCTGGGGTGCATGCGCTGGCAGCACGTCGAAGCCAGTGTGGTGTCTTTCCGCTCTTCGGCAAAACTTCCTGTCGGTTTGGTGTTGAGTACCCTGGCCCTAATTCATGATAGGCTCCGCCATATCTGCACGGGAGAAAGTCGGTCAGTGGGCGGCAGCGCATTGGCTACTATGGGAGCTCGAGGCCATGAAAGTTCTTGCAGGATGTTGGAGTGGAACTGTGGAGCAGAAGGCTGTCAGGCTGTTGCGAAAGTTGCCCATCCTGCCTTTGCTGCACGTTTTAGCACGAGGCGACCTGAGGCGACAGGTAACCAAGCAATCAGTCATTGCACATTCGCTCGCAAAGCAAAGGCCAAGAATCCAGCCAATTTAGGTGGCCTGCAAGCCCTGGTCATCAAGTCATGCAGTACCGTAGATTTGCCCACAGCCGCAGGGAGCAGGATTCGAAATGAATGTTGCCACCTTCAATGCGGCGGTGGGTGCAGCCAGGTTTGCATAAGACACCCGTGCTTGTCCGGAAGGCTTAAAGCCAAAGTGTTGCACGAATCGCGGCCAGCATCGGATGCAAGGTCCCAGCCGTGTTACAAACCAGCCAAGGCTGCTCCCGTTATCAGCAAAGTTGCATCTTGAGTGTGCTTGACGCTGAGGCATGCACGAAGGCTTGTATGGGCGTCGGCCAATCAGAGTTCTGACTTCTGCCAGCGCAGTCGTTCAAAAAGACTGGCAGGGTTTAGTAAGAAAGTCTCGGAGCCAGGTAAGGAAGCAAATGTTGGATTTGGACAGAAGTTTTCGCAGATGGGAAGCGGCCTCTCTTTGGTCCGTCCGTCTGGTAGCCTTTGCCGGGGACACTGTCGAGGGAATTCGAGGAAAAACCAATGATGTCTTACATGGCACATGAGACTTGGCCACCGGCAGGCAAAGCGGTGGCTGTCGCAGATGCAAGAGGCCCAACACGACACGGCATGGCATGACACATCGGCGGAAAACTCAGCTGTTCTCTTTTGCTGCTTCAGGCCAGGGTGAACCCGAATGCGGTCACCTACTCTTCGACCATCCATGCGCTGACGAAGGCAACCAGCTACAAGTGGTTCAGATGGATTGACTGCTCTGATTTTGAACGAGACTCTCAGGCACTCCCGCTGCACACAAGATTTGGGAGTGTGGCGCATGCTTCCAGCAAACTCCGCTGTGTTGGTTGCTTCAGGTATGCTGGCTTGTCGATACCAAGCCGAGTACTCCATTTTGAAAGTAGCGCAATGGAATGGAAGCTTGCCCGACGGCTGTTTCCAGGCAAATCTGGTGGAAGATGCGATCGAAGCGCTAGTGGGCATGGAGGCCAGCAGACCTTACACTGGGATTAAACTCTGGCCATCTCTGGCCTCAGTCTCCGCTTGAATTCGTAGTGGGAATGCATCGTAAGCCCTTGAAGCACGAGCAAAGCGGCAGCGTAAAGCTGAACAGAGGAGTCTTCTCTGAAGCCGGATGCGTCTGCTTATGAGACTTGGAAGCATTTGGAAGCACTGGGAAGCTGAATGGCATTTTTATGACAAGACCCGTCCTTTCCTGCGCATCTTCAAAATACTGCCTCTGTCGGGATATGCGGAGTATATCAGTACAACATTACAAGAAACGGTGAATTGTGAGGGACGCAGCTTGGGTTAAGCACAACCAAAGCTATTGCAAGCAAACCGCCTGCCCAATGATGTAGGATATGCACTGGAAGTCCCCACCCATTACGGCAAACATAGATGGATGATACATACCGCAACCCATCATCAACAACCCGTATTCTATACCCGTTCATATTATACGTTCCATTGCCTCGCTGCATGTAGTCCAAAGAATGTGGACATATGGTTTAAGTTTAACAGAAGCATGAATCAGACTCCTTCCCTGTTGCCTTTCTTCGCGTAGTTTACTGCACAAAAAGTTGTCGATGCCAGTCTATGGCCGTTGATCAACAACGACTCTCCGTCGTCAAATTGGGGCGGACATGCTATCAGTGACACTCTATATGTGTGCCGGATACCAATGAAGCACTGCACTACTATACATGTTGCCATGCATTACAATATTGCTTCTGGGAGTTTGTCTCGTAGCTCACACATGTAGACCTCACTGTGAACATCATTGGAAACGTGCGTTTTGTTCCAAGCCTGGTTTCTGAACTGACAGGCATGACCTTTTTGGATTTCCACGTTCTTGGCAAGCTGATATGTGGTAGTGATGCCTTCGGAGAGTGGAACCTCGAACCTGATATCGCAATGAAACGATCTTGCTGCTGTTAACTTTAAGAGTGTTGGTGGGTTCAGTTTGAGCTTCGAAATGGGTCTGATGGATTTTGGTGTCGTGTACCCTCTTTGGAAGGCATATGGACCTACAAACACCGTGAGTCTGTAACCCTTGTCATAGTATGGTGTTGCTGTGTTTTCCGTAAGCTGGTGGAAGAGGATTCTAAATCTGCAGCTGGGGAGATATAGATTTTGAAGTGTTTCTTCGTCCGGAGCAGGTCGCATCTCCTTCCATGCCGGCAACATAAGGGTTAAGGGACACTCCTCAAAACATCGCCAAACTTTCTGCGTAGAGGAACTGGGGGCCACGGCGTACCTTTATAGGGTAGGATGAACGGCGATCATGGAGATGATGATGATGATTATTGTCATTATTCTTCTTTGTAGTACGGCCGATCACTGCTCTTGCTTGTGCAATTCTCTTATGACGATCATTTGTTTGGCGTGTGCTGGTATTCTACAGCCCAGCAGCAGTGTTCTAGAGACCTGTCCCGACGCCCTCCGGCTTCACGTTACGTCGAGCCGAGCTGAATATGTATTTTGCAGGGTCTGTGGTCTGTGGTCTTGAACAAAAGGCCTACTTACATGTCACTGGACTGTCATAGACTGAAGCCGGACAAAATGCTCCTACGGTCCTGCAGCACTGCCCGCGTTAGCTGATAATGCCTGACACCGACTAACCTGTAGCCCTGGACGGGACGTGGAAAGAATCAGAGGAACTGTTCATGGTGAGGCGCGGGTGATTACGGGCTTGGCCCGGGCAAACCGCGACCGTGAAGCGGCGGCGTGGCTACAAACCATGTCAGAGGCGGGCGTCGTGTGGATGTTGTAGTTGACCTGCAGAATAATTAGTGGAAGCGCCTGGAGTAAAGAAATTGCCAAGTGTTCAAAGTTTACCCCTTTGGAAAGGTGTTCAATTTTTACCCTTTGGCTGATGTTGGACATCGACTGGCAGAGCATCCGGCTAATTACAGTTGACAGGCCAAGCTCAGTCCCAACACGCCAGTCTACAACTGGGTCATTGCAGCGTGCCAGTGACCGAGACTGTTGATCGGGCGACCATTCTCTACATGGCAAGCACCGCTTTTTTCGTCATCGTGCATCGCACAGCTGTTGATTCGAGGCAAGAAGACCAAGAATGCTGATCTGGCTGAATCCATGATGCGCGGCTCCGCCATGTCTTGCTGCTCATAGCATGCGCTGTGGTCCGAGTCGCGCGTCCTCGGCTCGCTCCGTTGAGGTGAGATGCTTGCAAATGGTATGATGCCCAACGACTTTAGTGCCGTGGCATAAGAAATACAGCTCCGGTGAGGCAGGACTGTCTGGTGGTTGCAGACAGTATTGGAGCCGGGAAGGTTTTATGTAGCAGTCGGTCAAGCTAGTCCTTCGCATCTTGCTCAGCACCGCGACCTGTGCTATCACGAAGTGCCTTTGTACAGATTCATGCCTGTCAAGCAACTTCAAGGCTAGTGCTGCCGTCGAAGTCGAAAGTTGAATGCTTTGCATTTCAAAGCGAGAAGTGGCCAGTGCTGCTTGCTTGCGAGGCTTGTCTGCTGGCAGGCACACTAGGCAAGCCGTTCTTCAATTGCTGTGTTTGCTATTGTGCCTGGACCATCTTCCAACATGTGCAGCACACTACACATCGTAGCAAAACAACATCGAGAAGATTCATTGTCTTCGTCTCCTCAAGACACTGTCTCTGCTCGTTCCTCCCAAAATTCAGCGAGTGAACAGAGGCAGAGCTGCAGCTGTTCGGTTGTCTGACAAAGGTGTTGGGACTGTGCGGTCAGTTCTCGGCCCAGAGCGGTTTCTCCAGTTGCAGGCTCTTGGTTTTTTTGCAGTCGTGGCTTGCACTGTCCATGTTCGATGAGCGATTTGACTAGATTGTATGCTGATCATGGCAGATGATTAGCGCAGACTTCCAAGCTGAGACCACTGCAATGAACCACTCCGCCGTGGCAGGCAGAGTTGCCACGTTTACGAAGAGTGGCTGCCAAAGTTGCCCAGCAAAGAAGGGAGAGGCCGGACCCCAAGAGTCAATGAGCGGACATGCACGACACGAGTGCTGCAGCGTATGCAACGAGTGAGTTCGGAGCTTTGAGCCTCTCGCTCTCTCACACTGCAGCCTGTCTGTACCTACCTACATTCGCATGTGTAAGTCATGTGCACTTGTACGAATGTGCAGTGCAGAGTTGGAGTAGACGTACGTGCGTGTACGTGCGTGTCCATACGAATGAGCACATGGTAGTTGATCTAAGGCTCCTTGTGGCATAATTTATATGAGACGACAACTGCATAGCTAAATGCCTTCGCGATTTTTTTTCGCGGGTTTTTGTTTAAGCTATTTTTTCTGCGAAAGTTCTCTGTTTAGCCTACTTGTCGTATTATTATTGCTATTACTGCTACTATTACTGCTACTATTAGTAGTAGTAGTAGTAGTAGTACTACTACTACTACTACTACTGCTACTGCTACTGCTACTGCTACTCCTACTACTACTACTCCTACTACTACTACCACTACTACTACGACCACTACTACTACGATACTACTATTACTACTACGATACTACTACTACGATACTACTACGATACGACTACGATAC